TGTTGATGGCACAACCTATTTTTGATGTATTGCCCCAAATCATCTTGAATTTGAAGCCAAAAAGAGAAAACCATTGAGCACACAATTTAGGCATCATCTACAGTAAACAATGGCATTAATAATAGCAATGACGGAACTCGTAGCAAACGGCGTTTTGCCGTTTTAAAAGTGGAAATGTCAGCGCTGACCTGCGTGTAGTGCGTACAGTAATCAAGGGTACAGGAATCATCCTCAATATTGTAGCCGATCTTCTCTTGCCACCACATCACCAGCGTCATATACAGGGCTTAGACGGGATCTCGCAAGGTCGCAAAGGCTAGGTTCTGTCCGTAGTCCTCATACTCGGGCCAATCATCATCCGGATGCTCGTAAACACACCGTTGCGCCCACTCCCACGCCAGTCTCTCTAAGCCTGCATCGTAAACCTACAGAAAAAAATCAAATAGAAAAAAAATGACACGTATGGGAGATATGTCTCTGTTTTCCGTGATTTTAAAGTAAAGATGGACTATTTTTTTCAACCAACCAGCATCTGCATATCGGCTGCCCTAGGCTCCACGGACTTTCGATTGCATTTTCTGCAGATAAAAAAGAAAATCACCCGCATAGGCATGGATTATACGTAGTCTATCAACATAACCTGCCTATCTCTCTCTCTCTCAAATATTGTCCTTCGAAGTTTTGAGAGAGAAGTACCAACTAACTTCAGGCGACCGATCAGCTAGACGGTGCCTGTTGCTGTCAGTAGGGGAGGTTCAACCTCAGCGCATTTCCTTCCTCAAAAATAATCAATCTGATGCGTTGAAAACTACAGTCCTGCAAGTCCTGCAAACAACTTCCACGACGAAATTTATATTGGCAGTTTGGTATATATTTGGAAGGGTTATTTTGATCAACTGAGTGGATTTAATAATAAGAAGGCCTTTCGGTTTAGAATTCTGCCTTCTTAGTTAAATTTATTGAGGGAAATAGGCACTCATTTTGGCTTAATCATGAGCACGTTTATATTAAAGAAATTTCCTATGCTATAAGGTTCGACAGAACCAAACATTTTACGTATATATATTGCGCTGTGTAAGAATTCCATAATTAGCAAAAAAGGTGGAATAATAATCCTTTCCAGAACTGGAAAATTTTGTGCGAAGTT